TTTTGTCAGGCTTCCTGCTCTGACTGGTAGTATAATTTTGCCGACTGGCCATTCTGGCATTGAATTGAATCCGATCAGGGGGGATACAGCTGGTGCCAGGTCTTTGTCCTCTAATTTCAGTTGTTTGAAGGTTTCGTAGTACATTATCTCACACGAGCTACCTTGGTCTATCAGAATTCGCTTGACGTCATAATCCTTGATACGGAAGGTGACGACCAGTGCATCGTTGTGAGGGCAATATATTCTTTCCAAGTCTTAGTCTGAAAAAGACATGACGTTCTTGGCCTCTATTCTCTCATTTTTGATGGTAGGTTGGGCACTTAGTATCTCCCTTAAGTGCTCAGCCTTCTTGATCGACCCTCTGAGCTCGCATACACGCTCAGGTTCGAATACTCCATGTATCACATTGATTGCTCCTTGAGGTGGGGCATCAATTGGCATTCCATTGGGGTTATTGTGGTCCTGGGGGGCTGGTTGCGTTCCTCCTTCAATGTATTTATCCAGGTGACTAGTTGCCACCAACTCCTCCAGGTGCTGTGTCAATGGCATGCAATTTTCAGTATGGTGCCCTTTTTCTTTGTGGAATGTGCATCGCGATCTTTCGTCGTAGTCTTTCTGTGCTTCTCCTAGCTTAGCTGGCCACCTGACGAAAGGTTCATCGCGTATTTCGCTCAGAATCTGGTAGATCGGTTTCTTGAATACCGTGGTTATGGCAGTGCAAACTCTCAACCATCTTTTATCCTGGTCCTCTGCGTTATCTCGCCTGCCTCGTCCGTTTTTGTTCGGACGTTCTACCGTGTTGATATTTGCTGTGGTCTTTTTATCTGGTATTGCGGTCGTGCCAGATTTTGTTTTAGCACGGGCGCTATCCTCTTCCACCCTGATGTGCTGATGCATTCTTTCCATCAAGGCCTCCATGGTGAGGGGCGGTGTCATGGTGATTGAGTCCCTTAGTCTGTTTCCTTTACATATAAATTACCTCTCAAAGGTTGAACTTTGGTTCTCGGTAGCCGTATCACTAGCTATCTCAAGAAGGGACATTATGCACAACGCATGAGCGTCGAAGCTCCGATCTAACTCACTACTGTTCACCTCAAACCTCGCCTGTATTTCTGATCCATCTCTCTCTCTCTTCCTCCTTCTTTTCGCCCATGTCGATGGAGAGTAACTGGTCAATCTCCATCGGGTGTGATCTTCTAACTCTTAACCTCGTGACGAACGCCTCCGCCAATTGTGCCCAGAAGGCTATGCTGTCTTCTGGAAGTTTTTCGAACCAAGTCAAGCCTAGGTCACCAAGGCTTGATGGGAAGAGGATGCACATCAAAGCCTCGTTTCGCCGATATACCGCCATAACCTGGCGGAAATGGCTTAGGTGTATGTAGGGGTCCGTCTTCCCCTCGTATGTGGTGAATTTGGGTTGAAGGAAACCTGAAGGAAGGGGCGCGTTTTCAATTGTCGGAACGAACGGCGAGGTCTGCAGCCTTGCTAATGCTTTGTCCGTTGGTTCGTAGGCAGGGCGTGGCAACGGCATTCCGACCTCGACGCTTCCATGCGTCCGAGGAGCCAACCGTTGAAGGGTAGATAACCTGCGAGGGTTGCACGCCCTAGTATCCTCCTTCCATCGTGCCTTTTCTTCCAACATGTTCCGCAAATCGGATGATCTTGGTAACTCTGTCTGTCTAGATGATGTCTGGTGCGAGCGCGAGGGTTGATAGGTACTTCCCTCCGTGTAAGACCCCAATGATCTCGTTCTCTCAGACCTGGAGAAACGAGTTCTGGAGGTTCTAGATTGAGTATCGCCTATCCTGAGGCTTCTACTCTCTGCTTGTGATGGTGTGGAATGCCTTCCACGGTCTTCTGAGCGGCGATGGGGCGTCTTGCTTTTGCGCCCCTCTCCTGTCGCCACTCCTTTTCCCTTCATCTGGCACTTCATGGCCTCCATGTCCGCCGCCATCTTCCTTATTAATTCATCTTGCTCCTTTACACGGTCCTCCAAAACTTGAGGATCAATCCTTTGCCTTTGTCCGTCAGGACTTTGTGAATGAGAGTGACGGGGGCTGTTAGTCCGCCTCCTCCCCCTTGCATCCCTCCTGGGATTTTGTCATTGTGGCTCCAAGTCTGCCATGGGAGGGATAGAGGGTAGGCCTTCGCGTCTTGCACCCCCTTCTAGTGTTTGTCCGTCGATGGCGGACTGCAACAAATCTTTGTTGTGCGCCATTGCTTCTAAAGAGGAAAAGCTTAATCAAGAGGTTTTGTTCTTGTCTGAATTCCCACAGACGGCGCCAAATGTACGGGAAAGAAATAAACCTTCTCATATAATCCTGTTGATCAAGTCCGCGTTCCTCCAAACGTCGTCGCTTTACTCCCTGAAAACACAAACGTGAGCTAGCCGGCAGGTGTGTGCCGGAAACTCCTCCTATGCCTAACTCAGCAAAATAGACAAGTAGACAAAAGCTCTGTGTATTCAGGAATCAAAGTTGTGTGTTACCTCTCCATAGGTGATGTTTGTGAGCTTTTAAAGGTTCCGTGTGGCACAATCCAAGTAGGACTCTTACTCCTCCATGTAGAGTCCTCCTAGGATTCATACTCCTGAAAGATAATGCTTATCCTTCTACACCCCCCTCACTGCTTAAACCAAGTGAGATGGTTTTACCATGGTCGGACTCCAATATGGCCGAGGTACGCATGGCTACGCTTAGCCGTAGAACAGACCGAACTATCCTTAGTTCGGTTCGTCCTTTTACTGCCCTTACCTTAGTTCCTCCTGTACAAACCGTGGTAAGTCTAAACCGAGCTAACTTTTAGCAAGGTTTAGATCGAGCTAACCATACTGCGCCATAACTGGTATAAATTTTAGTATGGTGACCGAGCTAACCTCCATGGGACCGGAGTAACTTTACACCTCTCTTGGGCCAGAGTAACTTCATGGCCTTTTTACTCAGCCCTTCGCACTGTGGCCCATAATGGCCCATTATCCAGCACGGCCCAATTTTCATATAAATTACCCTCTCAGTAATATACCATATTATCTTGCATTTTTACTAGTATTGTCATTTTAAAAGATACAAAGTTATACCCCCCGCCCCAATTTGCCTCCATTGAGTCGCCCAGTTGTGGGCTTTCTATTTACACTTAAAAAATTATTAAGTACGTCCAATTAAAATTTTAAAATTTTAATTTTAATTTTTATCTTATTCATAGTACACCCTAATCACATGTAGTATTTTTCATCTTCTTTCCCAAGCTTCAATTATTTTTTCTTCTTTTTCTTCTTTATTACAAAACTCCAAACCACCCAAAAAATTTTGGCCAGTTGCACCCAAAAATTTTAAAAATTTTGTATATTATACCAACTACTAATAAGATAATTTTAAATTAGTGTACTTTGCACCTTCTAAGTACTTTGCACCTTCTAAGATTTGAGTAGTTTGCACCTTCAAAATTATTACAAAAATTCACAATCGTAAATTATTTATATTATAAAATTTTAAAAATAATTTTCAAATTGTGCTTTATCAAGAGAGATTTACGTATAGGTTTTAATAGATAAACTTATTATCCATCAGTCTTATGATAATTAATGACGGTTTTCACCAAACACTATTAAAAAAAAGTCACTAATTATTAATTTTCAGTGACAGTTTAAAAATTTTGTTACAAAAAATGTCAGTAACTATAAGTTTTAACGACAGTTTAAAAAAATGTCACTAATTTTCAACTTTTAACGACAATTTGAAAATTTTGTCACAAAAAAAATTATTAATTGTAAGTTTTACAGACAATTTATAAAAAAAAAGAAAACATGATAAAAAAAATCACTAATTGTTAATATTTAGTAACATGTAAAAAATTGTTACAAAAAAATATTTTTAGCGATGATGTTACTAAGACTTATGTTCAGTAGGACTTAATGAGAATTAGTCCACCTATTAAAACCTATTGATAGCTTACACTTTTATCAAATATTGTTTTATTCTATTTGTTATGTGTGTTATTGAGCATTGCAATTCAGGTCTAAAAGTTAAACGAACTTATATATTATTTTTCTTGTGGTTATATGTCATTTATATTTTTTTTCTTCCTTCTATAAATCACACTTTAATTTGCTTATGCATCTTATTTTGCATTTATTTGTGTTTATTCATTATTTAAAAATTAGAATATTGTCCAAAAATAAAAATATCGCAACATGTCATTCTTAAAATTGAGCTCATAAAAACAATAAATTCTCTGATCACACTCACAGGGTCTATCCTTTCCATTGAAGGGTTGTTTTTGTAAAGCGTGATCACTCCAACTTGAATTCGAAAACCTTATCGTCAATTTCTGGGAGTTGTTTGAGTTCATGTGGTGTGGCCTTTGATGATGACACAACAAGTCTTGCCTCTTGCCTTGTTACTGTGAATAATAGGGGAGCAGTTGGAGATGCCATTTCTGAGGAAATGTGAAACAAAGATGTAATCTATACGTGCCTTTTTCATCTGAATTTTGAAAGCTATTTACAGAGTGAAGATCAAGTAGACAAGAAAATACAGCATCCCATTGGTCATCCAAATTTTTTACCCATTAACTTGTTAAAACATCCCATTGAATTGGAATATCTATCAAGGTTCGTGGAGTCTCTTTGGATGGGGATCACTTTCCATACAGTTTTCTTAGTTTTTTTTTTTTTTTTTTGCAGAATTATCGTAGAGAAGAAATGATCCACAACGTTTTAATATAAATTTACTAAATAAATATTAAGCTATTGGTGAAATTCTATTGTTTTGACAGATTTAAAGACTTCTTTAAAACAAGAAACAAGAATTGATGGAAACAAAATAAAAAATAAAAATTAGCCCTCAATGTATATTATTTATTATAAAAAAAAATTAGATCGATTCGACAATCATAATATTTTTATTTTATCTTGTTACTTCCAAAAAAATAGACAATAAATATGTTTTTTAAAATAGATAACTTATTTTTGGTCAGAAAGCGAAAAAGCATATTAAAAGGAGTTAAACATAGTTCTGGGGAAAACAACCCCATTAGCATCATCATCATTAAGATGTTTAACAAGATAAGTAGGAGCATAAAGCAAAACATGGAGTCCTTTCTTGCTTCCTTCGTTCGCTAAGACGGCGGTGCAAGTATTCACTTCTCTATATATGTGCTTGATTTCCTTCAGTCCGAACCTCTCCATGAGATACCTACAATCATAAATCAAGTTGCTAAGAGGGTGGAACTCATCAACATTTTTGGCTAAAGGCTGGCACACCAACATGGCATCAGATAATAAAATAAAAGCATCACAAAACTGACTTTTTTTTTCTTTTTTTTTATATAAATAATATACATAGCACGTCCTATACAATTAATGATTTAAATTATTTAAATGAGATCTGCAACGAGTTTCACAACCCCTCCAATTTTTTCAAGTTCAAATTCAAAATTGAAAAAATTTAGATTCAACAACCTTTTACTATGTCAAAACTCACAATCTTAGACCATGTTTGATTAGTAAAACTAATAGTGAAAGAATTAACAATATTATGAATTAGTATAAGATTAGTTATCCAATTAAATTAGTGAGATAACCATTTATTAAATATACATTTTGTGTGTGTGCGTGTGTGATTTTTCTTTTTTTCTTTTTTTTGTTCATACATGAGATTATGATCCCAAGCCTCTCTTAGTATTAAAAATTTGTTAATTACGTTGTATTGAATGTTTGCCACATATGTAATTCAGTCAACAAAATTTGCAATCAAACATAGGAATATTAGTCCATAGACTAATAATCCCAATCATATACAATAATCTTATTAATCAAATAAGGTCTCAGATATATCATTTATAATGTTATATTTATTAAGTTGTCTCTTAAAATTTTAACAAAAAGTACCATTTGAATTTATTCTATATCAAATAGATTATCATTTATCTCTCAATCAACTAATAAAAGTGAAATACCTCCTCTTTCTAAACTCTAAAATCCTCTTGTTTTTCTCGTCAAATTTTCTTAATAGGGAGAGAGAAATAGTGGTAATTCTCTTGCTTCTCTGATCTCCCTCTTCTTTTCCTCTAATCTTCCTCTAGATCTAGTTAATATGATGTTTGCCTGACCACTCTGATCATTATTGTCTTACTTTCTCTACCTTCGAATCTAAAACTTTAAGATTTGACTTCAGGTCTTCTCACAGTCCAAAGGCCAACGTTGGATAATGCTTTTGTTTTACCCTAGGCAAGCAGTTCAACCTCAATGTTCTATTTTGACCAGCCAATATGGCGTCTTCAGACTCCATGTTAAAGGCTATAGAGCAATGGAGTTTTAGATGAGTTCGGTGGAGATTTGAATCTGAGTTTTTTTATTTTTAGTTTTTTTATTGGTAAAATAAAGATTCATTGATATAAAATAAAAGTGCAAGATGTACAAACAAATTACATCAAGAAAACACCAAAACCCTAGACAAAAAAAATTGTTGGAAAAAATGGTTTATATAGGCTTATTTTGGGCCGACTTTGAGCCCAAAATTAAGTGGGCTTTGAACGTCTTTTGGGGCGGGTCCGAAGAAGTGAAGTATTCCTTGCCGCGTGGCAAATCACACAGTGAAGACGGTTCGTCAAAACCATTTATGAGTGAATGGAAATATGACGTCGTTTTTGGGTTCGTGGAATTGAACATTTAAGTTTTGAATGTGGGTTTCCTTGAGAGGCTTGTCCCACATTGAAACTTGAAGAGAGTTTTGTTGAGTTTATAAGCTCTAGCCTACAATACTTGGGTTGGGCCCCAAGGGGCACCCCAAGTTTGTAGAAGGGGGAGTTATGGACAAAATGAACCTTAGCCCAAACTACCACACGCACGCACGCCGCCACCATCCGTGCCAAGCGCGGGTGTGGGTTGTGGGTTGGGTCGGTTCTTGTATTAATTTTTTGGACAAAATTCATTTGAATTTTTTCAAAATAATATTGCAAGAATTTAATTCAAATTTGAATTCTAATTTTTTGTCCAACATTTAAGACAACTTCTGTCTGAAATTTCTCAACAAATTTAAACTGGTTTTCAGTTATTTAACTTCCAGAAACTGCCCAGCAGTTCCGGGTATAACTGTCTAGCAGTTTATCTGTTGAAACAGTTTCAAATCTATTTGAAGTTAAACTCATATCTGTTCAATTCAAAACACACCTGTTCAGTTCAAATTTTTGCACCTGTTCGGCTCTATATATACCAACACTGTCCAGCATTGTTTGAGATCCGAAAATCAGTCTGCTCTTTGCCTTTTCTGTCCAGATTTTGCTCTGCTGCATTTATTTTTCATATATTAGGTTTAGGAATAAATTTCAAAGAGTTAGAACATAGGTTTGGTTCACCGAACCAATTGTTTGGAGTACTACTACAGTTTGTGAAGATCATTGTATCCTGGGAGATAGACGCCACTCAACTGTAAGTATCGTAACGAGGCGAATTTGTCTTAAGGACGACTTGGTCTTGTAATTTTATTTGGTTCGACAAAATAAATTCTGTAAGTTTTTATTTTATAAGTCAGAAATCAGCTTATGTTCATAGTTATAAGCTATAAGCTATTTAGACATAAGCTATAAGCACTTTCCCACAGCTCTACCAAATAGGGCCATTGTATCTTGGGAGATAGACGCCACTCAACCGTAAGTACCGTAACGAGGCGAATCTGTCTTAAGGACGACTTGGTCTTGTAATTTTATTTGGTTCGACAAAATAAATTCTGTAAGTTTTTATTTATTTTGTTTGAAGTTGTTTCAATTTATTTTATTTGCACAGAAGATTGCTCCAACAATCTTAAGACAGATTCGAATTATTCTGTTTACAGAATTTTTCATTTGTTTCCTTTCTCATTCTTCTTTTAAGAAAATTATTTTCTGTGAATTTACAAAATAATATTCTGGTTGGAAAAACAAATAGTGATTATATGCTATTTGACAGATATGCTCTTGAAAGTCAAGACCATGATTGGAGTGAGTTCCATTATCATAATTCTTCACGTGTGGTGGTTTATTTCTGTTTCTTGTGGGGGCATTTTCTTCTTTTCTATGAAAGTTTGAATCGTTGTTTTTGTGGAGGGTGTTTCTCTATTTTGAAATTTCATAATATCGTTGTACTAGATTGATGAGATTTTTTTCCGGATTTTAAAAAAAAAAAATTAAAAATAGAAGTTTTGTTATCTGATGATGTTCTGAATTATTGTTTGATGTAAATGGACCCGAATCTTAATAGAGCCACATACAGTATGGGGCATTCTATTTGAACCCAAAAAATATCTTAGTACGCCTAATTTAAATTTTTAAATTTTAATTTTTATTATATGTTAATGTGAATTTACTAATAAGGACAATCCATATTAAACCCTAAAATAATTTTTTTTCCCTTATAGTACACCCTAATCTACTATTTCTATTCAAATCTCTATATATTCTTCTCCAAGAGATCAAAGTTAGTTTGTCTTCTTCTTCTTCTTCTTTCTCACTCCAAAACTCCAATCCACCTTACTGAAACTCACCATTATTATTAATATCATTGTTTTTTATTATTTTGAAACCCTAAATCCTAGAAAAAAGTTTGAACAATCAAACAATGGAGAAAAGTGATAATCAAGATAATATTTTGAAGTAACCCATCAAGGAGGAAGTAAGCATTAATATAAAAATCAAAATATAATTATTTATTTATATATTTTTTCACATGTCCCGTTATAATGTTAAATCTTTTAATTTTCACAATCATATAAATAGCATTATAGCTTGATTATCACAATTTTCACATTTTTCTTCTTCTTTCACAATTTTCACAATCAAAATCTTCTTTCAATCTTCTACTTTCGTAATTTTCACAATCAAAATATTATCTTGATTATCACTTTCCTCCATTGTTTGATTGTTCAAACTTTCTTCTAGAGTTTAAGATTTCATAATAATAAAAAAACAATAATTTTAATGATAATGGTGAGTTTTGGTAAAATGGATTTGAGTTTTAAAGTGAGAAAGAAGAAGAAGAAGACAAACTAACTTTGATCTCTTATGAAAAAAAATGTACAGATTTAAATAGAAATAATGGATTGGGTTATACCATGAATATATATATATATATATATATTAGAATTTAATATAGATTGTCCTTACTAGTAAATTCACATTAAAATATAATAAAAATTTAAATTGAGCATACTAAAATATTTTTTAAATTAAGCATACTAAAACATTTTTTTGAATTCAAATAGAATGCCCATACAGTATGAATCATGTGTTCTGAATTATTGTCCGACGTAAATGGGCCCTAACGTTAATACGGCCACGTACAATTCATCCGTAAAGAAAAGTTGGAACGTGAGATGATTGACAGGTGACAAAATATAATATAATATCATGGCGCATCTACAAGTCAGTGTTTTTTTCTCAAAATAATTACTCCTTTCGTCCCAAAATAATGGTCTATTTTGGGGAATCTAACTTTTTTAGTAGTACAATTATTGCATTTGAAAAAAGTTGATTTTTCAAAATTATCTTTTTGATAATACATTTTTTGAGAATATCAATGTCATAATTGTACTTTTTATTGTTTATTAATTTAAAAGAAGGGCAAAATAGAAAATTTATATTATTTTTGTACTTGATTTTTGAAGAGGGACTAATATTTTGAGATAATGAAAAATGGAATAAGGGACTAATATTTTGGGACGAAGGGAGTATTAAGAAAAAATATATATATATATATAATTTTAATTATTAAAATTTTTAAAATTTATCATTAACTTATAATTTCTTTTACAAGTGTAAACTGACCTGTTAATTCCCCTAATATCATTCAATTATTGATGTGTGTTTTTACTACCAAAAAAAACCTAAAAATTGTGAAATGCATTGTGGTTTCAAATTCTTTTAGAAAATATTAAAGGTTGGCCTTTCTTCTAGTCCATGAATAAGATTGGAAAGTATTGTTCAAATCTGTCGAATGTATCACTGGTTTTATTTCGATAATTTGAATAATTTTTTTGTAGGACCAATCGTATGCATTATTTAAAAAATTAGATTAATCCGATAATCGTATCTTATTCAATTGATCACATTTACAATTAAAAAAATGAATGGTAAGTATATTTTTAAAAATAAATCATTTAGTTTTTTTTTGTGATAAAGTGATAAATTAAATAACTATCAAATTGAATTAAATTTTTTTTTTCTATGTGATATAAACAAAAAAAAAAAATAGCACAAAAGCTTAATTTCCTTGAGGAATGATCTGATTTTTATTTTTTTTGGGTGTGTCATTTGGTATGAACAAATCTTGCTCACAATTTCACTCATTAATTGCTATTTATTTTTTTATTGTTTTTTAGTCGCCATTTATTAGCATGTTATTGGTTATTTTTGGACAAATATAAAAACTTTAAAAAAGACCTAACGGCATAAGGGTGACTTCTAATATTAGACCCCAAGGAGTCAAGCCGTTAGAGATCATCCTCAGGTGGTGCTACACATCAAAGCTACTTGACCATATAGTAGTAAGCCGTAGACTCACACACAGGAGAGGATACAAGCTCACACTCCTGACACTGGGTACGATTCACTCAAGCCTGGAAGGTATGCTCTATCGACCATATATACTATCATCTGGGTGGCTGGCCCTGTGGAGAGTTAAACTTGGGACCCCAAGATTTATACCTTAAGGTCTTACCAAGTTGCCACACCCCCGCTAGGGTTAAATATAAAACTTTATTTATAGAGATAAGATTTTATTAGGGTTATATAACATGTTATATTTTTTGGCAAATATAAGAATTTAGGATAAGTTTGAAAACTTCTTATAATAGTTTAAAAAAGTCAACAAATTATCCTCGTCCGTTAGTATGAGGCTGGCTCTTTGATCTATATGTAGAAGACTAAAGAATAGGTGATCATGAATAACAATAAACTCACGGATCTGGAGGAATTTGGAGGACTTGTTGAAATTTCTCTGTGCTTTTGAATTCTATTACTATTCAAAAAGTTCATTGCTCTTGGGTTTCAAATTTTGAATGGTACATCAAATGGTAGAGAGAGAAAGTGGGTTTATTGACCTTTTAAGCTTACGGTTGTGCATTTCAGTACATATGCTTATGAAATTTATGGAAATTTTGATTTGTGTTTCATGTCAGAGAAATTTTTTTGAATTTTCTTTGTGTATTTTTGAAATTTCTCTGAATTTTTCTTCAAAGAGAAATTTGTCTAAAATTTCACTGGACTTAAGTCAGTGAAATTTCACTGATGTATGTCTCATCTTTTTCTTTATTTTTACCCTCTCTCCATCCCTTAATATGTCTTTCTTCCCCTTTTACCCTCAATGAATTTAGGGTTTCTTTGACTTAATCAGGTATTTTTTACTAATCTATAGTAATGATAATGAAATTTCACCGGCTTAGTCAAGAAAAATTAAATAAAAAACTTGTTGGTGCTTGTCATTTTATGTATAAACTTTTTATTAAAAGAAATATATGTAATAAGACCTTATTTTTATAATTCATCTGAGGCCCACTACTACAAAATTATAAATAGATTACGAATTTTAAGTGTGATGTATGTTATTTAATCATGGATTTTTTTATTTTGTTAAAGTGCAATATTTGAGAGTGCGATTGTTAAGAGTCATTTTCGATCACACTTTTTGACCGTCATTAAAAGATAATTGTATCACATATTTTGACCGTGATAATAAACATTTAAATCACGAATTTTAAGTGTGATTAATAACCAATAAAACTTGAGATTGAACTTAAATAATCCATAATTAATAATGGAATAAGATCATAGTTATATGTATTTTCCATCACGGTTAGTGCTTGTGATAAAAAAAAAGTCTCAGGCCACAAAATGTCACTATCAATCAAAGCATATAAATCGTAATTAAAATATGAACAAAACTAATATCTAAAATGTGAAGCATTATGGTGATGCTCGTGACGAGATTTGTAGATTAGTTGGCCGCTAATTTCCTTCCAAAAAAAACACAAAAAAATAAACTTTTGACTACTGAAAAAAAAAAAAGAAGAAGAAGAAGAAGAAGAAGAAGAAGAAGAAGAAGAAGAAGAAGAAGAAGAAGAAGAAGAAGAAGAAGAAGAAGAAGAAGAAGAAGAAGAAGAAGAAGAAGAAGAAGAAGAAGAAGAAGAAGAAGAAGAAGAAGAAGAAGAAGAAGAAGAAGAAGAAGAAGAAGAAGAAGAAGAAGAAGAAGAAGAAGAAGAAGAAGAAGAAGAAGAAGAAGAAGAAGAAGAAGAAGAAGAAGAAGAAGAAGAAGAAGAAGAAGAAGAAGAAGAAGAAGAAGAAGAAGAAGAAGAAGAAGAAGAAGAAGAAGAAGAAGAAGAAGAAGAAGAAGAAGAAGAAGAAGAAGAAGAAGAAGAAGAAGAAGAAGAAGAAGAAGAAGAAGAAGAAGAAGAAGAAGAAGAAGAAGAAGAAGAAGAAGAAGAAGAAGAAGAAGAAGAAGAAGAAGAAGAAGAAGAAGAAGAAGAAGAAGAAGAAGAAGAAGAAGAAGAAGAAGAAGAAGAAGAAGAAGAAGAAGAAGAAGAAGAAGAAGAAGAAGAAGAAGAAGAAGAAGAAGAAGAAGAAGAAGAAGAAGAAGAAGAAGAAGAAGAAGAAGAAGAAGAAGAAGAAGAAGAAGAAGAAGAAGAAGAAGAAGAAGAAGAAGAAGAAGAAGAAGAAGAAGAAGAAGAAGAAGAAGAAGAAGAAGAAGAAGAAGAAGAAGAAGAAGAAGAAGAAGAAGAAGAAGAAGAAGAAGAAGAAGAAGAAGAAGAAGAAGAAGAAGAAGAAGAAGAAGAAGAAGAAGAAGAAGAAGAAGAAGAAGAAGAAGAAGAAGAAGAAGAAGAAGAAGAAGAAGAAGAAGAAGAAGAAGAAGAAGAAGAAGAAGAAGAAGAAGAAGAAGAAGAAGAAGAAGAAGAAGAAGAAGAAGAAGAAGAAGAAGAAGAAGAAGAAGAAGAAGAAGAAGAAGAAGAAGAAGTTTAACAAAAAAAATATTAAAAAAATATTTTTAATTTTTAAAATATTATTTCTATCCACTAAATAAAAAATTATGTAAAATTGATCAAAATTAATAAAAATTACATGATTAATTTTTGAAAATTAATTTTACATGATCATTATCCAAACTCATAATAAAAATTAATTTGGTAAAAAAATAAATAAATATCTAAAGAATTTATCAATTTAACATAATTTTATATTTAGTGAGTAGAAATAATGTGTCACAATCGAAAAATCAGGAATTAAAGTGACACAAGCTCTAAACTATAGGGACTATTAATCTAATTCACCCAAATTAAAATCAAACACAGAATGCACAATTCTTTCTATAGTAAACATTATTACCTGAATCAACAAGAGAGGACAACCCACAATTCCATCGGATCCAGGAACATCATACAGAAGCTCCTCCAAGTATGGACACCCTGGCCCAATCGTGTCGCCAAGCCAGTCGAGCTCCACATTTGCATCTGCCTCTATGAACAGAACCCCTTCGGCTGTGCAATCCACTGAGAGTTTCCGATTAGGCCCTTCAACAAGCCTCCCTGCAAATGGGTAGTAAAACACTAGTGCTTTGGCTAGTGCTTCTCTAATCACACTCGCAGGGTCTTTCCCTTCCATTGAAGGGTTGTTTTTGTAAAACATGATCACTGGAACTTGAAAACGAAAACCTTTTTGGTCATCTATGTCTGAGAGTTGTTTGAGTTCGTGTGGTGTGGGCTTTGATGGAACAAGAAGTTTTGGATTTTGTCTTCTCACGATGAATACTAGGGGAAGAGTTGAAGATGCCATTTTTGGAGGAAATGTGAATTAAAGAATATGTAATATCTATATGTTCTTTGTCATATGAATTTGAGAGGTATTTATAGAGTAATGATCTAGTAGAATATAAGAAACCCATCGCATAATGCAACTGTTATTTTTAGGAGTCTGGATTTAGTAAACTTAAAAATTTCAACGTCAGTATAAAATTGATCGATTACAAGTTAATTTAGATTTATTTTAGTGATATAAATAGTTTATATTATACAATTGAATAAAATAATTATTCATATAAAAAAAATTAAATTCATCAAATGTCGATTGTTATATTATTAGAATATTTTTATTTAAAAAGCTTACATGTTTTTAATAATAGAATGTTAGTTTATTATAATATATGTGATTTAATATTGTGATTATTTATACCTTATCAACTTAATTTTTTAAATATATTTTTTCTTAGTTAATCATATGAGATGAACAGTTCAAATCATTATAAATTTGATTGATTGATTGATTAAGTTAATCTCAATTAACTTAATAATAATTTTAATAAAAATCCTAAGACATTATCAATTGAACTTAATTTATTCAAAATTTAAAATTAATAGTTAAAATGAAAAATATAAGAATCAAAATTAACACAATGGACAAATGTAAAAACTATTAACGTAATGGTGTTGGTTTTTCTGAAATTGGTCATCTCGACATGGGAAAACGTTTAAGCTTAGTACGTCAACTTTGGAATCGATTTTGATGATCCAAAACATTCATTATTTAGGGCTCGTTGAGTAGAATATTCACATAAAAAATTAAGATAATCGGACATTGATAATTATAAGGTTTTACAAAAATGATGTTATTCTTAAAATTATATTTGTTATCTATTTTTTCAAAACAAATATAATTCAAACCTATAGATGCCAATGTACAATTATCTTCTCTCTTTTTTTTTTTTGCATAAATAATATATTCAATAAATCTTAAAAATTGAACAATTCGAAGCACCGAAATCGGTCCCAGAATAGACTTACCAAACCCAAATGCTCTTTCAAATTGTCCAACTTGAAAGAAGTCAAATCCTAATATAATTTGTTCAAATAAATTTATAGAAAAATATGAGTTGAGACAAAAAAATTTTAGGTACTTCTAAAATATCATGTGTCCTTACTTTTTTTACCAATTATCATGCTTATTTATATTTCTTAATTACCCAATCTAAAATCATAATACCTAACCATCTTTACAAATCATAATCCTACAGAAGACGATGTACGCAATAATCACCCGAGTTCAGACTCACGAAAGATGGGTGATGGTTGACTAGTACTAGTATTTTCACAAGCCACGAAAATTTGAAGCGACTACCGTCAACAACATTAATCCTCCTTGCATTTCACGTTTATTTATTTATTCACATTAGTTTAGACTCACTAAAGATGGGTGATGGTGACTAGATGGGTGACGGTTGGCTAGTTCTACTATTTCCATGGGCCAAGAGAATTTGAAGCGATACTCAAATCTCATTTTGATACTTACACAAATGTTAATGTCTTTCTTTTTTTTTATTTCTTTTTTAAATTTTTCACAAAATTTAATCATATGACAAAAATATGATTACGAAATGAGTGCAATAGAGAAAAATTATCCATATTTCCCGCCAATATATTTTGTCATACGTGATAAGAATATGTGAGCTATATAATAGAATATACATATATCATATATATGTTCATATGGTAAAAATTAAAATAGAATGGCCAAAAAGTAGAACTTTTGAAATATAAAAAAATACGACAGCGAAATCAAAGAGAAAGAAAGATGATAGATAGAAGACTGTATTATCGTGAAAAATAAAATTTCGTGATTCTAATTTATGCAAAACTCTAGTTCATCTTATTAATTGTTCACAATTTGTGTTTTGTTTTAGTTTAATAAAGTTATATTTTTATGTAAATTTTAGAATAAAGTGTGTATTGGTGAAAAATATAAATGATTTTTCTTTTTTATCCTCATGTCGTAGTCACATTTTTATCACATGATTAAGGTCAAGTTTGGCAATCCAAAAATAATCCATCTTTTTATCTTTTTTCTATCACATCACCTCTCTACTTTTTTGCACATCTTTTCGTAAAAAGACAAAAAGTGCACTTTTTAGGTTATTACAAACAACCCCTTATGTTAAAGATTTAAACAATTGAGTAATGAAAAAAGGATATTGACACTTATATATGGATCAAAGTGAAATTTGACCAAAAACACATAGAGTTGACTGTCACAATTTATTATATAGGGACCAAAGTAGGATTTGACCAGAAGCATAGTAAGTTGATTGTCATAATTTTATATGTAAGAACCAAAGTGAAATTTACAAAGTGCAAAGGTACAAAATATAATTTCCCCTTAATTTTTTTTATTCACATTAGTTCGGACTCACTAAAGATGGGCGATGGTGGACTAGTACTCTGCTTAGTTTTGGTTTTTAGAATTTACTTTTCAGAAAATTCTATATTGTTTCTTTTTCGTATTTTTTTTTCACTAAATTTTTTTTTAATTTTTAGGCACACCTAACCTCAATATACTTAAAAAGTATAATTTTTAAATTCACTAAATACCAAAAACATAAATAAATAAAAAATGAAAATTTAACATATTTTTCATATTTTTATTAATTTTTTAAAAATATTTTTTCACAAATATTTTATTTTTTAAATACATCTAAATAAGGTGTACCCAAAAAAGTAAAAAAACTTGCTTAAAATTTTAAAAAAATTCGCAAAAAACAAAAAAATAAAATATGAAAAATAAAAAATTCAATTTCTAAAAAAATTAAATTTAAAAAATTGAAATCAAACATGACTAGTATTTCCACAAGCCCAGAGAACTTGAAGCAACTGTTGGATCAATCTTCTGTGTAAATAAAATAATTAGAAATAAATGCAGTTTTATGTCTTGTCACTTGTTAGTCGTCCCTGTTTCAAAAATAAAATGCTATTAAATATGTCTAATTTAATTAATTGAGAATGACATTACATAGGTTAATTATTTAATATTATAGTAATTTATTTTGAGTTTAGTAATATTGAAATTTTAACTTATTAATTAAATTAGAGGTGTGTAATAATTTTTTATTTTTGGTTTATTAATCTATCAAGTTTCAAAATTACTAGAAGTAACTCTTGTTTTTTTTGTTTTTTTTTTTTTAAATTTTTTATTATCCAGAAAAAAAAACTTTATTGATAAACACATAATGACTCTCCAAACTCCAATTAAGTTGACATTAAGAAAATCAGCCTATTATTTATTAGTTTTAATTAAGAGATTGGTGAGAAATCAACAAAATAAGAAAAAAAAAAAAAAAAAAAAAAAAAAAAAAAAAAAAAAAAAGCAAGCAAACCCCTCGAGAGCAAGCAATATGCTGGAAAGAATCCACCAACTAATAACTCAGCCCAATCAGAGCTCATCCTCAGCACTAGGGAATCCACATCATGTTTTCATCCGTTTATCATGAGCTAACACAAACATGCGAGGAGCTAACAGTAAGCTGCAAAGGGACCACCCACTCACAGAACCTGATTTCATTCAGGTTAGACACATTGTCATGCACAGAATAGCTCACCCCCTTTGAGTTAGACTTAGCCCATAAAGCTAAGGACCGAGAGATACTGTTGTGATTAAATTTGTTTTTAGCCGAGTTCCCCAAATAAGCCACAACAACGATCTATGGTATCTTGGTGGGGTTTTTTTTGAGTTTTTTTTTGATAATTTGAATTATTCATATAATAGGGTTCGTTGAATAAATCATCAATGCAAAAAACCAAATTGATTGAAAATCTATAACTCTATAACAATATCACATTTATTTTTTAAAAAAATAAAGAGTTGAGATGATCTTGATAATTTTTTTAAAACAATTTGAATATGATAATGAGATTGCTGATTTCTGATTAACTTAATTTTTTGCATAAATGATATATTCAACGAACCCTATAATATGAATTGTTCAAAAAATAAGAAAAAAAATCAGAAAAAATCCCACCACACCACAAATTGTTGTTGTGACTGTCACTTGAATCACAGTAGGATCCCAAATCCTAAAGAGACCCTCACTCTCACCAAATCTTTTGGCTTCACCAAGTCAGGTTTGACCAATGGTCTCGTTTGAGAACAGACTTTTTAAATAATTTTTTAGTTTTTTGATTAAAATATAATGTAAAAAAATTAGTATGTTTAGATAATTTTTTAAATTTTTACGAAAAAATGTGCAAAAAGTAAAAAAAAAAGTATTCTTTGAGTTTTTGGTATAGGTTGTTAGTTTTTTGATTTTTTAGTGACTTTTTGTCTTGTAGGCTAAAAAATGATGTTATCAAACGTTGTGTGAACAAGTAATTTTCGGAAGTAGGTTAAAAGTTAACTTTTTTAAACCTTTTTTTGAAAAAATATACAAAAAAGTAGAGAAGTAATGTGACAAAAAAAAAAAAAAAACCAAACATACCCCAAAAAACTAGCTTTTAGCCGTATTGCCAAAATAGGCCTTGTTTCCAACGGAGCACAAAACAACAAAAGGGACAATCTTTCAGATGCGCAATACTGATTTCTTGAACTTAACACCAGATCAAGGCCGGCTCTAAGGTGAGGCGACCAACACAGTCACATCATGCTCCTAATTTTGAACAAAATTTAGGGCTCTAAAACTAGGAATGTGTATCATGTTATATTATTTTATAATTGTTTCAATATTAGCTCAATCTATTTATTTTTATATTGTCATATAGTGTTATTTTCATTCATGTAATTGATCTTTAATGTGAAAACTTTCACATTTAATTAAAAATAACTCAGCAAGTGTATGATGAGACTAAATGAAATAATTCATAAAATGTTTGATTTCAACTCAATTGCATTTTTATAATTAAAAAAACTATGCCTTATTATTTTATATTTTTTATTAGATTGACTCTAAAATATGTAACAAAAACAAAAAACACATCTTAAATGAAAAAAAAGAGAGAAGATATTAGCCTTAAATTATTATTTTATATATTTTTTTATTCAATTAGTTGGAGTTAAATAAAAGTTTAAAAAAATGTCATATCGTCCCTTAGTGAATATTAAAATACATAACTAATCATTCATATTATTGAGTCG